GATTAAGCATTACACTTAACAAATGGGCAAATGAGCTAAGCAGCCACTTCCAAGAAATACAAATCAAAGCTGTAATATTAAAACAGAAACACTTAACTCCCTTAAGGTTTAAATAGATAAACTCTCAAAGACCTAGACATAGGCACAGACTTAAGAACAACCCTAGTTGCACAAGAAGTAACTTGAATCAACTGATGGGATTATATCAAATTAAAAAGCTCCATAGCAGAGGAAACAACCAATGCTCTGTAGGTGTAGAGACTTACAGCATGGGAAAAATTTTGCCAGTTACTCCTCAGAGGACTAATTTTCCAGAACATATAAAGATTCAAAAAAATTAGACCCTCAAAATAAAATACCCAATTAAAAAATGGACATTTTAAATGAATATACATGTCAGAAGAAGTGCAGCTATCCAGAAAATCAAATACGTGAAAAAAATGCTCAATACATGTGGACCTTAGAAAAATAAATTTATGGGTCAGGGAGATAGCTCAGTGGCATAAGTACCTACTTGGCAGTGCTAAGTCCGAAGTTTGATCCCTGGTACTGAAAAAAAAAAAAAAAGGAAAAGAACAGAGAAAAAAAATGAAATTTAAAACACTGCAATATCATCATACTCCAGAAGAGATGATTGTCATCAAGAAATCAAATAACAGATGTGGGTGTGGTTGTGAAAAAGGAACCCTTCTACCTGGTTGGGAATGTATGCAAGTGTAACCCAAGGAAATCAATATGGAAAGTCCTCCAAAAACTACAACTAGAAATGCCACCCAACTCAGATGCTGCTTTCTCTTGTAGGCATCTTCCTGAAAGTGTCAGAGACACCACGTAACAGTGATACATAACATACCTATATTTAGAGCAGTATAACTCATAATGGCTAAATGATAGAAGCTGCCATTATGTTCATCAGCAGAGGATTTTGAGTCATTTGTTGGAAAAATTAATGTATCTTGAGACTATAATGATAAATGAAATAAATCAGATATCCACTTAACTATCATGTTTCTCTTATATGAGAAAGCCAGAGCGTACATAAGAACAAAATAAAAGCTAGATAATAGGAAACAGGGAGACAGATCTTTTGCAGATGGGAAGGGGACCAAGAGATGGTGCAGGGAAGTAGTTGAGGGGAAAGGGGATACATAAAAAGAATTATGTACATGAGCCAAATTTGCATGATGAATATAGTCATTATGTACTCCAAATGTATACCAATGAAAAAGGAGAACGATTATTATTACTGTTATTTGCCATTTAATACATGAAAAGGTGCTCAACAACTATAGCCCTCAGAGAAATGCAAATCAAAACTACATTGAGATTCCATAACATCCTCATCAGAATGGATATTATCAAAATATCCACCTAAATATCATGTTGTACTTATATGAGAAAGCCAAAAAATAACAAATCATGACAGTAATGTCAGAGAAAAGGAGCCCGTGGAGAGTCTTGGTGGCAATGTAAATAGTATAGGCACTGTGAATAACAGTATGAAGCTTCCTCAAAACCCTACAACTATCATGATCCAGCTGTATTCCCAGATATAGATGTGAAGGAAACTAAGTTGGCAAATGTAAGAGCTACCTGCCTTCCCATGTGTACTGTGGCACCTTCACTTGTTAATCAACACAGGTATTCATTAACAACACAGGTATTCATTAACAAGTGAGTAGGTAAAAATGGTACATGCACACCATGGCTTGTTATTAATGGGTTATTATATATACACATCTTGTTTGAATGACGATACAGACTCATTAATGGAAGAAAATAGTATTGTTAAAGTGGAACTAGGGGCCAGGGATATGGCTCAGTGGCTTAAGCACTTGCCTTCCAAGTACAAGGTCCTGAGTTCAATCCCCAGTACTGCAAGGAAAAAAATACTAAAAATGGAGTTAAAAGAATTACATATCTCATAGGGCAAAGCAGAGGCAAGGAAATATTAATTTAAAAATCCGTACCTATTAGACTAAGAACAAACCAAATCTCCAAAGTAGGATTTTTTTTCCCTGAAATTGAAGTATGAGCTAACTTTTCCCTCTAATGATTCTCAAAAAAATTCTGTGACATATAATGTGTAATATTTTAATGATTTTCCTAAAACATGGTTTAAAATGAGTTCAGTAAGTTTTCTCATAGTGTGTCTCAGACTTTAGGGTATATACGGTGTCCTCCAAAAGAATTTATACCAACTTCAGGAAAGAAAATTTGTATAAATATTTTAATACTAAATTCCAGTGACATGAGATTAACACAAGTTACCTTTGATCTCTGTTGTTGCAAGAGATGCTCCAAGTGGTGGCCATTCACTTCCACACATTTATTAGTACGGTGAACTTTGCTCCTTGAGTAATTTTAGCCCATTGAGATTGCTGTACATGCATACTTCAATATCTTCTCCAAGGGCTGGCAGTGTAGTGGGTTTTCTACAGCCTCAAAAGTTCCCCCATAAGAGGATAATATCATCTGTTGAAAAAACATCATTTTTCTTTTCCTGAAGTGTGTATACAGTTTTTGTTTTTGTTTTTAGCAGACTATACTAGTGATGGTAGCAAGTCAGGCTGGATGTGTGAGTAGGTCTGGGATCACAAGAGGCATTTTTTCATTTTAGTGTCATCTGGAGCCATAAGGTTACAGGAGTGACTTCAAATTAGCACTTTCAAAGAATTTTTGTCAGATTATATGAGTAGGCCATAAAAAGAGAATAAGTAGTTCTGAAATTCAGGCCAACAGAGAGAAGACCCAGTTAAGGAATCTAGAGCATTTCTAGTATCCCTTTTTGTTGAAAGAAGTCTTCAAATTTTTGTTTTGCCTTTTTAATAGTTTACTCTTTAAATCTCCTAAATCAGTGTGTCTTACAAAAAAATGCCAAAGCAAGTGTTGAATTAAAACAATGAATTACAGGGCCAGCTGGTGGATTAAAGCATCTGCTTAGGCAGACGCAGGGACCTGAGTTCGAGCCCTGTTCCATGCTGGTCCCATCCTTGGGACACGCTGAGACAGTGATTGAGGCTGGACTTGGTGGCACATGCCTGTAATCCAGCAGTTGGGAGGCTGAAAACAGGAGAATCACTATAAGTTTGATCTGTGTAGTGAGATCATGTAGACCCTGTACTAAATACATTAAAAAAAAAGAATAAAAACCCAATGAATTATCATCTTCTAGGTGTGTATTTAATATAATGTATGGCACTATAGGAGTTGAAAATATTTCATGATTTATATGATATTCTTTAGTGACAAATCATATATTTTATTTTTTGAAGAAAACTATTGATTTTGATGTTTTGGGAGAAGATACTGCTATAATCAGTTGAAAAAGGCAAGGTTAGAGCAAGACTAATTTTAGACTCGGAGACTGGGGATTTATCTATTTCAAATATTCCTTAAAATCTGAGACTGTTTCTTCTGATTTACTTTTTTTTGATTTTGCTGTTTCTTCTATAGGATACCAACACAACATATGCTTGACAAGTAATTGATAAATACATGAGAGATAAATATTATGGAAAAATTTATGCTATAAATATCTCACTATCTCAGATATTTTTGTGATTATAGTTAACATACTGTATTTCTTTAAGTAAGCAAAAATTCTCCTAGGGCAGGTGCTTAAACTAAGTTTGTGTTTTTGGAGAACAATACAGTTTCTGAAATAATTGGTAAAAGGGTCTACTGTATTGTTTTTGTTGTTTCTTTTAAAGGCATTTGTGGAAGAAAAGGCTCTTTATTTTAATCTATTGATTGATGTTGGTTTGGAAAGGAAGGCTGTGATCCACTATAGTGGGCAGCAGGTACTTGGTTAATTTGGTATTTAGCTTAGTCAATTAAGTTGCTATGTTCAAAAGGACCTTTGGAATGAGTCAACATATTTTGATAACAGTAACAAGAAATTTAAATAATTATTTAAATTAAGGGCTGGCCAGATAGCTCAGTGGACTAAAACTCCCACTTAAGCAGAGCACAGTGGCTGGGGTTTGATTAAATTTAAATTTAAATGTATTTTATTTAAATATGAATAAAGGAGGGGGCCTGGCTGTAGCTCAGGCCTTTAAGTGGCTGCTTCCACAAAGCTGTCAGCCTCAGGTTGCTGGAGTTCGAACCTCACACCTCTCCAGCTGGCCAAAAGTGCCCTGAAGGCATTCGAGGAATAAATATGAATAAAGGATGCACTGAGACAGCTACGTGCCTGTAATCCCAGAATTTGGGAAGCTGAAAACAGGAGAGTCCGATCGGACTCATGGTGGTTCTCCTGTTTTCAGCTTCCCAAGTGCTAGGATTACAGGCACGCAGCTGTAGACCCTGTACTAAATACAGAAAAAATTATTTAAATTAATTTTAAGAATATGGTTTGTTGCAGATATGAACATTTGGGTACCTTTTGAGTAGCTCAGATAAAAATTAATAGTACTCAAATTAATTTTAAAATAAACTGTAAGTTGTCTTGAAAGATACAAATGTAAAATTTACCACTGTGGTTCAGTGGTAGAGTGCGTGTCCAGCTCACACAAGACCCTAATTTAGATCCCCAACACCATAATTAATAGATAAGAAACATTAAAAAAGTTTTAATTTTTTTTTTAAAATAGGTAATAGATTTGCATGGAATGAAGTTTGAAAGGTTGGGCTCAGCACTCTAAGTGCCTGCCTGGTCAGTGCAAGAGCCTGGGTTTGATCCCTGTTATCATATGCCTTGCCGGCCTGGGGTGCCAGCCGGCCACTAAAACTGGGTGTGGTGGCACATGCCTGTAATCCCAGCACTGGGGAGGCTAAGACAGAAGGATCACTATGAGTCCAAACTGCATAGTGAGACCCTGTACCAAATAAATAAATAAATAAATTTAAATTTAAAAGGCTCAAAATGCTACACAATTAGATCTCCTTGCCAGAGAAACAGTTCTCCCTTTGTGATTTACATTACCCAGCTGCTCTCCTCAGAAGGAAGCTAAGGAGATCTTTTAATGTGATTATTTTCTTTCTAATTATAACAGATTGAAGATCTTAAACAGACAAATCATGGCTTGGAAGAATATGTTAGGAAACTCTTGGATACTAAGGAGGTGGTAAGCAGTCAAGTAGATGATTTAACCAGCCACAATGAGCATCTTTGTAAAGAATTAATTAAAATTGACCAACTAGCAGAGCAACTAGAAGAAGAGAAAAATTTTGTGGTGGATACTGCGGACAAGGAACTCAAAGAAGCAAAGGTACTACTAGATTTACCACTGATCAAGATTTTAATTCTACTTTAACATGTAATTACAGTGGAAAACATGACATTCTCATGCCATCTGGAAACTTTTTTTTCCATAATTTTATTGATAAATAGCAATGAGACAGTTTCAAATCAAATCGCTAGGACAGTTTCAATAACTAACACACTACATACGTTCTTCTTAGTGGTTAATTGCTGTAGAAGAAGCGGACTTGAGATCCTATATACAAACACCATTAGAACAAATCATTCTATTCATTAAGAGAATGTAACTATATATCTATCCTAACCAATTTGAATACACAGATACAAAATGGGCATTCATCTGTATACCCCTTTTTTGCTAAGTTCCGTTATTTCAATATTATAGGTGTGTAAACTCAGCAAAATATTCTAAAAGAGTCCAGTAGCCCATAATA